CGAGAAACGTGCGTTGAGTAAGCGTCTCATGCAGAACAGTCAACACTGAATCATTGTACCTCCAACCTTACTCGTTCATGCTCTATATTTCAAGTGTGAGACTGAGGGAGGTTTGGTATCAAAGTGATAATTTCATTCTGCCTCAAATTCTTTAATGTCTGACATTTCCTATAATTTCATGTTCAAATTCTCTTAATGACTATTCTTTGCACCATTCTTTGTTGTCAATCCACTCTTGAAATTCACATTTTTATGAATTCTCAATTCCTTCTATTCCTTTTATTGTACTATGAATTCTTTCACCTCTCAACTTTTGAAAGCATTGGCTCCTTTACCTATCCATCCTCAAGATGTTTCTCTAATCCTTCCTTCAGATTATCTGTGTGGCTGGTTGTGCTTGCTGTATGCTCACTTCCTGTACTTCCTCTTGCATGGAACTTATCACATGTATGCAATTACTTTATTCTACTGGACTATCAGTTTCATGATAGTCCATATTGGCTCACCACCACATCCATAATCCCTATCACATAACAGGTAATTAGTAAGTATGGGTATTTGCTGAATGAATAGCTAAATAAAAACATGCAGCATGAGTGCATCACACCGATTAGTGTCTTATGGATTGAATATTTGGGTCTCTCCAAAAGGCAGTGACTTTAGGTGTCGATGAGGTCATTAGAGTAGGATACCATGATGAGATTGACTAGTATCCAAAGAGGAATAAAGATCAGAGTTCTCTGTGTACTGTCTGAGGATATAGGGAAAGGGTGGTCATCTGCAAGCCAGGAAGACAGCCCACACCAAGGATCAAATTGGCTGGCATTTTTATCTTGGACTTTCAGCCCCCTCGAGAACTGTGAAAAATAAATGTTTCTTGTTTTAGTTGTCCAGTCTATGGAATTTCATTATAGCCACGTGAGATGACATTGTCTAAGCTTAGGAGTCATGGTATTGAACTCTGACATTGTCACTTGTGCAGTCATAAGCCCATTAATTAACTCTAACCTACAAGTAAATAATCTATACACATAATTAGTGCCAAAGCACAGTAAGCATAAAGAGTAGCCCTGTCATTTAGAAGCATCTTAGTGATGAGTGCTGAAAAGGTAGACCTGAATCAGAAAACTAAGTTTGAGGAAATGTTACAATCAATATCAAGGGGACAGGCATTTGAGACAGTAGTTGTGACATGGCCTGGGATGCCTGCATGCCATATTAAAGCACCTGCTCCCAATATGATCCAGCTTCCTGCTAATGCACACCCTGGTTGCCAGCTGGTGATGGCTCAAGTGCTGAGTTTCTTGCTACCCAAGACATGGATGGAGTTCGAGGCTTTTAACTTTGGCCTGGTCCAGCTTTGGCTGTTGCAGGCATTTGGGGAGTGAATCAACAAATGGGTGATTCTCTAATAAATAGTAAAATGTTTAAAAATAAATACTAAGATAATTTTTTAAAAGGCTCCACCTTCTTTAACAAGTGAGACATGCAGGCATCTTCCTGAGAAAGAAATAAATTACAGGTTCTATATTTAAAAATGTAGTTCCATCTCCAAAAGGAATTATCAAGTATATGAAATAACTACCACCTAGTAATGTCAGTTAGTATTATGTTACATCATATTCATCTGTGATTTGTAATGTTTTGAAAAATTTCAAAAGTATTAGGGCTTTGATTTTAAAACATCAAATAAGAACAGATCACTATATCTACTAATTTGAATAATCTACATTTGTGTATCAAAAATGGCATGAAACAGAGAAAATACTTAGATTTTCTGTCCTAATCTAAGAAAAGTACATTTTGTAAGTACATCTGTGAAAATATTAGTGCCTCCTGTTTTTGTAACTGTGGTCATATTTATAAGGAATTGTTACACAGAATGGAATGTCATCAGTAAAATATTTTACTATTTTATTAACTTAGAAGAAAACAGTTTATATAATCTGAAACTGAGAAAAGTAGTCAGGAACTACAATGAAGTTTTTCTATTTAATAGTCTACTGAAATTCACCCTCACCAGTGTGAGTGAAGCACAAATGGAAGACCTCTCTCTGTAACTCTGCCTTTCAAATAAATCTTAAAAAAGAAAAGAGGGCTAGATTTGAATTTAAGGATGTTTCTCAAAACAAAGTGAGTCAGAAAAGGAAAAACATTCTCCAATAATTTTAGTTATGTTTAGTAAGATGCCATTTGTTAATATAAGTAAGTTCAACATAGTAAGTACAGGTATCATTCTTTCACTTCAGATAACAAAAGGAAAACAACTACAAATACAGAGGAAGTAAGAGCAAAAAATATCTACTACTCTAAAGGCAACCATGGTAAGTTGTGAAGATTATAATTTACTGTACCCTTCAAAATGGTATCATTCAGGCAAAATGTGTAACATAGAAGAAAACATGGACTTTAGAGTCTTGTCTCGATTTAAATCTCATCAGCACCAATTTCCAGGTGTAGGAAGATGTGAGGTGGCCTGTGATAAGTACTCAGCATGGTGCCTGAAATTAATCATTGAATATATTTCATAATATTGTATCTTTACTATTCAAATGAAATGAAAATATAAATATGCGGTTTTATTTATTAAGCACCTCTGATTGATATTCAGCACTGTAACAGAACATTTATGAGTTATAAAGAAATCTCAAGAATTAGCATATGCCTTAAAAATTTTATGATGTTTACAATGTCAGGAAAGTGAGACACGAGACAGTTCAAAATGATTTAAGACAAGCTGAACTTTTCCACCTCTGTAGCAGGTTCTGGAAAAGCACCAGGGAATTCAGATTACAGCTCCAGAGACAGGAAAGATGGGGAAAGTCAGGGGATGGTACTGGAAAAGGCATGCAGGGAGAACTGCCCCCATTCTTGAAGCATTTGCTAAGGGATGGACTCACTTTTATGTATGTGGTTAGAAAGGACTTCATGAATCCAAGAGGCTTGAACTATACATTAAAGTAAGGCTTAGATAATTCAATAGGAAATAGGAGGAGTAAGGTCACAAAGCTGGGTTAGAAATGAGATCAGAAAAAGACACTATTAGATCCTATTTCTAATAAATATAGCCACCAACTGTCATGTGAATATTCAAAGTAACTTTTGATGATAAAACACTAAAAAAATGATAAGCCAAATTTAAAAATGAACTCCTGGCATAATATCCCTCCATCTAGGTCCTTTATATGTTCTATGCCATGGCATATATTCCAATTCTTCTAAGTTCTCAGTATATAAATAAGTGTATTAAAATATATACTTTAAAAGATTCCCCAAAGAGATTTGTCCAGCTTCTAGTTTTTAAAAATGTATACAATTATAAACTATTCTAGCTAACCAGAATGAGAAATACTATTAAAATGTTTGGGAGTATTTTAATAGTGCAAGGAAATACAGGTTTTCAAAGGCTCTTGAATTTATTGAAATCACAGTCGTGTCTTTTAGGAAATTATCCTAGGAATTGAAATCACACAGGTATACAAAGATGTTCAAGGACTTTAGTATTTCATATAATATTGAACAACATGATAATTGATAGGCAAGTGGCTAACTATGGCCATTAAAAAGACCATGTAATTCTGTCTATTGAAATTAAAAAAATATGTATTTAATGAAATATTAATTTACAGAACAGTATCCTACAAAATTGAAATTATGAGTTGATGAACAGAAAAATGTTGACTATTTTAGTCATGTATATACTTGGATGGTGTAATTTGAAGCAATTTTTACTTTCTTTATGCTTTGCTAGAAGTCTATTATTTTACAATTAGCATGTAACATTTTCATCATACGAAAAACAATAACAATTTTTATTTTGGAAGGAATTGTCTTTCCCTGTCACTAGCGATTCTGTAGTAGATGTAGTAGCCAATTATATCAAGTAAGGCTTGAAAAACTGAACCTCTGATGTCTTCAAGCCTACTGTATTCATTACTTTTTGACAGGGCAGATTCCAGGAGCAAACAGTGAGCCAAACAATTATCTTATCATCAAATAGTGTTGCAAAGAGATTTCAGGAATCATGATCCCAGTTTATCCCTCTCCAGACATGCAGTCCTACTGTGCTTTCATTGCTAGACTCTGAGCTTGTCAAGGCTGGGAAAGGGTCTTCCTAATATTTTCTTGTCTCCAAAGCCTCATATACACAAAGAAGTAAGTTAACTGTACAGGCACAGTTAACTTTAGAACAGGACTAAAGTATATGACCAAGATTTAGTTATTTCTGAACTATAAGAAAGGCTTTGGGGAAGACCTAGATCAAGTACTGCCACAGAGTTGGGCCTTACTGACCACAGGCACTGCCCTCTGCCAAGGGATCCTCTCCTGAATTCAGACAAGCGTCCTCTTACCTGGATCTAATTTCACACACATGATGCTTCTCGGTTTGTTTATTTTTCCATCAGCAGAATAAGAGATTAATTTCATTGGGATATACCAAGATTGCATTTTATTTTATATTAGTATTATTCAAAGGCATTGCAATATATAGATACAGTCACCTAATACAACAATATCAATATGGATAACCTATTTGTTTCAGTTAATGTGCTGTCCTTTCACCATTGTTACCTTTTTATCAAAGTATCTAAGAATGAAGCAGAGATACCATCATTATCTTCTCAGATAAAATTCTTTGCTCAACAAAGACTATTCATTGCTCTCATCTGTCCCAAATAGAAGCAAACACACTCAAAAATCCAGCACAAATTGTTTTGAAGTAATACACATGTATGGAAGAAATCATTGGACAAAACATTTCAGCAAGATTCATAGACGAGACATGAAGTCACTGCCCTTAATTGTAGCTATCAGTGTATTCCCAGGGGCAGTGTTAGCAGATGCTACACTTAGACAAGATTTAAACCAATAGAATTGCCAATGTCATTGACTGGTAACAGTGACAAAACAGAGTAATGGTAGCACTCATTTATGTGATGCACTTACTGATTTATTGGCTAGAACCAAGCAAACCTGGACTCCTGGTTAGTTTCCTTTACCTTGGCCAGATGAGAGTTGATCCATTTTGTGAAAGTGCGTTTTTGTACAATCTCTTGCTCATCTAGAAGAAAAAGAAATCTGGTGAGGTAGTATGTCATGAAGTTGCATCATGAAAAGAATTCACAGACAATTCTAGAAGCAATGTTAAGATTGCCTTATCTTCTAATTCATTTTATCAACTTTTGTTTGGAAGGAAGAGTCAATACAACTCAAAATATATTGATCCATTAGAATGTTCCAAGTGCTTTAAAATTTGCAACATGTTAGTCTTGTGTATACTTTCAATCACTCATTAAAATTTCACTGTTGAATTATACCTCAACAAAATTACTAAAAAAAAGAGTCTGGAGCAGGTGTTTGGCCTAACAGTTAACAAGCTAGTTAAGATGCCCACATCCTACCTAGCAGTGCCTGAGTTCAATGCTTGGCTCTGACTCCAACTTCCTGCTAATGTTAGCAGGTGATAGCTCATGTGCTTGAGTTCCTGGAAGATCTGTATTGAGTTCTTGGCTCCTAGCTTATTTCTTATTCCAGACCTGACTTTTGCTGACATTTGAGGCCTGAACCAATGGATAGGAGCTTGCTCTTTAATTTCTTTTTAATTTGTGAGAAATAGACAAAGTTCTCTGAGACCAGCTAAATGTCAAAATTTATGCTAAATGAAAAGGAATTGAGAGACCAACAGGACAAGGCCTCTGTCAGTACGGATCTAGATGTGGAGATGCAGAAGCAAGGGAAATTCTATAGAAGAGGCCTACTCAGTAATGTGATAAAACAGAGCTTTACACATTGGTTACTACAGGAACATAAGCCATTTGAGGAGTGTGGCAAATACATCCTAGTAGTGACTTCCAAGAACTTCCACCCTCTGGAGGTTATAATTTTGAATAGGGAAAGTGCAGACAGAATCTGCGACTTGCTGCTCACCAACAGATCATCACAAAGGTGATGAATGTGGCACCTCTGCTCATGTTACTTTCCTTAGCTCCATCTTGGCTGACAGCAATGAGACATTCCCCTGCCCACCTGGAAGAACCAAAGAGCCGTGCTGTAAAGTGCCCATGGAGAGGGCCCATGGCAGGGAACTGCGGGTCCCAGTTAGGGACATGGTTAAGCCAGGCGCCCTCAGATCCACAGCCACTGGGAAGACACCATCTGCCCACACGTGGATCAGCTTGAAAGTGGATTATTCCCTAACGGAACTTCCAGATGAGAATGCAGCTCAGTTGGCCGATGATTATAGCCCATGAGACCCCAAGCAGAAGACATGGCTGAGTATAGATTCCTGAGCCACAGAAATTTGGAGATACTGTATGTTGTTTTAAACTGTTTATAGTAATTTGGGAGTCATAGGAGAAAACTAAACACATAACAGTGGGAATTTATTATCATGCCAGTGATTTCATTCCAGCTCTGTACACCAAAATCTACAAGTTCTGTAAGACCCAATATTCTTCCCATTTTTATTTATGTGAACAAACTTCATGTACTTCATACAGATTTAGTAGCATAGTGATACTTTTCAACCTACCCTCCCTTCCACCCTCTTTCTTCCTTTTTAATTTTTACAATGACATACCTTCAGTTTTTAATTTTTTTTTTTTTTTTGACAGGCAGAGTGGACAGAGAGAGAGACAGAAAGGTCTTCCTTTTTGCCGTTGGTTCACCCTCCAATGGCTGCCGCGGCCGGCATGCTGCAGCCGGCACATCACGCTGATCCAATGGCAGGAGCCAGGTACTCCTCCTGGTCTCCCATGGGGTGCAGGGCCCAAGCACTTGGGCCATCCTCCACTGCACTCCCTGGCCACAGCAGAGAGCTTGCCTGGAAGGGGGGCAACCAGGACAGAATCCGGTGCCCTGACCGGGACTAGAACCCGGTGTGCCGGCGCCGCAAGGCGGAGGATTAGCCTAGTGAGCCGCGGCGCCGGCCACTTTCAGTTTATTTTATAACCATAAGATTAACCCTCTACAAAGTATTTAATAGTAGTAATAAGAAAAAAGTAGTAAGACAAGGACTGTAAACAACAAATCTCAAAATGTCAGTTTTACTCTATACATTACATTATTTTGTACTCTATTATCACAGATCAAGGAAAACATATGGCGTTTGCCTTTGGGGACTGGCTATTTCACTAAATATAAAGTACAGGGATTCCTCAGAAATCTGAATATAGACCGCCCATATGACCTAGCCATCCCACCCCTGAGAATTTACCCAAACAAAATAAAATTCATATGAAAGAGCTGTATGTCCCCCCGTGTATAACAAATCAATTCACAATAGCTAAGACATGGAATCAACCTAGATGTCCATCAGCCATTGACAGCATAAAGAAATGTGGTATACAGACACTATGGAATGCTACTCAGATGTAAGAATGAATGAAATCCTTTCTTTCCAACAAAATGGATGCAAGTGGAAACCAAAATAATTAGAAAATCAAGAGATAAATGCCCAAGACAGGAAGCAGTTTAACACTTCCAAGAAAAGGGGTGAATTTTATTTACACCACCATGACCTTTTCCATGCCAGTTGTTTGGAAAACAGACTAAACCTTGAGGGAGGACCCAGACAAGCAAGATGCAACTTTAATCCCCGAAACCTGGCGGAGGGAGGATGCTGCTCAAATCAAAACCTCTAGCTCTGAGTGTCAGGAACATTTGATCGCCTATTAGAGTATGCTCCTTGGAGCACCTACAAATATGATAGACATGAATGAGAAAGCCAAAATCTTTGAATCTGGAGAAACATTAGATATATCAAATTTAAAGAACGTCATTATTTGCTATTTTTAAATTTTTATTTTATATTTGAAAGGCAGAGACATACACACACAGAGACATAGAGATCTTCCATCTGCTACTTCACTCTCCAGATGTCCAGAACAACTGGGGAGAGGCCAGGCCAGTCAAGTGTCAGGATGGCATCGAGTCTCCAATGTAGGTGGCAGGTGCCAACCATCTGAACCATCGCTGCTGCCTCCCAGGGTGAAGATTAGCAAGAAGGTGAGTCAGAAGCAGAGCCAGGACTGAAATCCCAAATCGTGTCTTCTACACTTCAGTCACTCCATTTAATGTTTTTTCTTTTTTTTTTTTTAATTTATATGACAGGTAGAGTTATAGACAGAGAGACAGACAGGTCTTCCCTTCATTGGTTCACTCCCCAAATGGCCGCCACAGCCAGCACAGCACTGATCCAAACCCAGGAACCAGGTGCCTCTTCCTAGTCTCCCATGTGGGTGCAGGGGCCCAAGCATCCAGGCCATCCTCCACTTGCCCTTCCGGGCCACAGCAGAGAGCTGGACTGGAAGAGGAGCAACCGGGACTAGGACCCAGCATCCTTATGGGATGCCGGCGCTGCAGGCGAAGGATTAACTAAGTGAGCCATGCATCAGCCCCCATTTATTGTATTTTAAACGTGTTTCTTGTTTTGGCTTTCAACACAAATGAACAAACCAGTGGGGGCCAGTGTTATAGCTTAGCAGGTTAAACCTCCGTATGCTATGCCAGTATCCCTTATGGGTACTGACTGATTCCAGTCTTGGCTGCTCCACTTTCAATCCAGTTGCCTGTTCATGTTTTTGGGAAAGCAGCTGAAGTTAGCCTAAGTGCTTGGGCCCCAGCACCCATGTGGGAGACCTAGGAGAAGCTCTGGGCTCCTAGTTGCAGCCTGGCCCAGCCCTGGCCATTGTGCCCATTTGGAGAGCAAACCATCAGATGAAAGATCTCAATCTCTCCCTCCCTTCCTCCTCTTCTCTTCTCTCTCCCTCCCATTCTCTCTACAACTCTGCATTTCAAATAAATAAATCTAACAAAAAAAGCTACTACTAAAACCATAGGCAATACTTCCTGTGTACATGGCATTTAAATATTTAAATTTAAATATATACATGGCATTTAAATATAAATATATAAAACTTGTTATAATTAATGATTATGTATTAATTCATTTAATTCTTGTAATAAGCCTATAAATGTACTATAATTCTAAACATAAAGATAACTTAAAGAGTTCTACCAAAGTTATCCAGTGACAGAACTATTTTACACTCTAGAATTTTGGTTCTTATGCCCTTATACAGCTTCACAGGAATATAAAAATTCACAGGGATATAAAAATAAAATATCAAATTATAAAATCTTATAAAAATAAATAAAAATGATAAATTATAAAATTATAATATCAAATATTAATCACATGAAATGTTTAACTCAAGGGTAAATCAGTTTAAGTTTGACCTTTGAATCTGTTTTATAAATAATGTACCAACAAAATAATTTTAATTAAACTATGTTCAATGGAAATCAGAACTTTATAATACTAAATTGAAATTCCAAATCTATAGTGATATATGGTACATTAAAAATGTATTTAAATTTTTACAGATAATTTGAGATTACATACTCTCTTACAAACATTATAAGCTGTCATGGTTTTAAAAGTTAAAGTAGTGTCATGTTGGTGAATAATGTCACAAATTTAAGAATGCAATCTAACAACACAGTGCTTTACGATTTTAAATTATTAATTTCACTGCTACCAGTTTTAATGAAACACTGCATTATAACAGCTTCATCTGTTGATGAATTTGAGTTTATATTTAGACTTAGCCAACAGGCTTTCTTTTAGAAAGCTCAAATTGTGTCTTTTGTAGCACTGAATATATCTAAATGTCAGATTCCATGCATGCGTCCTTTTATCTTGTGCTGCAAAACCACATTTTACTGGGTCCTAAAAATCTACCTTTAATGTTATTATATATAACCAGCTGAATTCTCAGTAAATGTTTCCTAATTTTACTATTTTCCCAAGTGAAAATATCCTAAAAGTTCATAAGATCAACAAACTCATTTTTTGGTGAAACCTTGATAATTTGCTTCCAGATTTTTTAGTTACATCTGATACTAGCAACATAAAATGTTTAATTATGGAAGGAACAAATATGTGATGAATGTCTCCAACCTACATAAAAAACTATTATGAACAATGCAATATGTTTATAATGCTCTTGACAAAAAACCAAGTTAATCTAACTACATAGGTTTATAGAGTTCCCCCTA